AAGAGATGTACTAACATCATATAAAATATCATACACATATACACATGTGTGTGCTGTAAGTGCTACATAAGATTGCCTAGGGTCATTTGAACCATGGGTGTATTAAGGTGAAGTTTTTTAAGAGACCCTAATTCTGTCTCCCTCTTGATGACTACAATCACTTCTGTCTCTTTCCTGCCCAGACTCCTCCACCTCAGGCCCCACATGCCTTTCTTTGGGGTGCTATCTGCAAGTTCCCAGGAGAAAGGGCAATTCAGAGAGCTAAGATGGAACTGACACCCTCTTCCTGCTACAGGGTTCAAAGTACAGTGACCTGCTTCAGTGCACTGTGGCAACCACCACTGGTCTCTCCTTCCTTCCTCCAGGTAATACCAACTTGGAAAGCCATGCGAGAGAGCTTCTGTTTTCTTATCTTGACTTTGGGAAGTTAGGACCATAGTCCAGGAACTCTTTCCACTGTGGCATTCTTTAATGTAATCCACGGATCAATGAGACCAGCCAAGGACATGCCATGAAGGTTCATGCCATGAACCACAGAAAAAGGTTGAGACAAACAAAAATGTCAAGTCTGGCTCCATCTCTCTGGAAAAATTCCAAAAAGGTAAGGAGTAGAAGGAAAGGTGACAACCCAGAAGAGAAAGACTGACATAAACTGTGTACATTTTCACTTTTGTCTAAATGTATCTATTGTATAGTTTATATAGTTACGATCAGCCATATTTTCATTGTAATTTTCCAAATAAATGTAGTCACTCCCATATACTGAAACTTCAGTGTCACTATATTTCATGTTTCTTGGTCATTACACAAGTTTAAGCTATTTTAAAAATAAAACCTCTGTTTCACAAAAATATTTCCACACTTACACTGATTCATATTATTTCAAGAAAGAGGAATGGCAAAATAAGTGGATAATCCCTTGGAGTTGGTTGTCAGCTGGGTCGTATTAACACCTCCTACATTATTCTTTATGGGTTTAGAGATCCTGAATACTTGAAGGCTTGTTATTTTGGTAACTTTCCAATCCTATCTGAAAATCATGAGTATAAGATAAGACTGGCCATAATTCACATCAAAGCTGACTCTTGGTTTTATGCCTTAGTATCCTGCTCTACTTTTTACTTTTAAAAAAATTCCCCATAATAAAAAGTTTTTAAAGATAAAACTTACCTGCCTTCCCTGAAATCTATTTTTAAAATAAATTCCATCAAACAACTTCATCCAGATCTCAGCATGACAGAAGTTGCTCACTAACTAGTCATGGCTAAGAAGAACACACCATTTCTCCCTGTTCCCTTCAGCTCTGCTTTGCAAGTCTGCTCTCTTGAATATTCTTCTCACACTTTCATCATCCACTTATTTTGCAGGTCTTGCTCTCAGAATGTCAATGCAGACTTTTTGTCTAATACTTCACTTCTCCAGCTATGCAAATGGAGACAAGAAAAATTCTGGGCCTAATTTAATCAAAATTTCATTACATAGCCTGTACTTTAGGGTCAACAGACACAATTACAAAAGTGTCTCCAGCAAAAATAATGTAGGACTACTCTGAAATGAAAACATGATTTTCTAGAAATTCTAAAATAGTAAACAAGTCCCTGTTCTCCATCACTTTGGGGAAGGTCTTCAAATTTTTGCAAACAAAAATCAATAGCTTGCAAAGAATTATAACCAAAATTTCAATAGCGGAAACCAAACCAGATATGTGCTTTTGGGTAGGACTATAAAGACTAAAATTATGCTTTGTCACCTTAGCTGGCTTGCTGTGGGCTCTCCCTATACCTCCTAAAATAAGAAAGTAAGGATGTTATTTTCTTTTTTTCCCCTCCTTCCTGCTTTGTGACATTAATAAGCTAAAGAGGAGCTAGAATCAACTGTCCTCTACTCTCCTGTTGTAGGTTCTTGCTTGGTAGCCCCCACCCCATAAGATGCATGCATTTTACTCAATAGTTCAGTAGTTCTTTCTAGGCACAAGGCTTCAGAAGTGAACAGGACACCATCTGCAGGGAGCTCATTCTCTTGACTCCTTAGATAATCCATTGCCCCATTTTGCAGAAAGATAAGGGACTATATAACTTCAGCCTTGGCTTAGACTCAAGAAAACTGATGCCATGGCTTCTGCTTTGATTTTACAAAAACTCATAAACAAATAGCATACATAAAAGAAAAGCAAGACACACAGTAGCTCTTTGTGGAGAAAAAGCAGGGGATTTCTAGGCCATTCCCAGTAGAGGGCAACAGACCCTGAACTGTGTCCTCCAACACCTCTACAGCCACCTGCCTTCTCCACCGCTCCCTGTCCCCTCTGTTACCCCTATGCCTAGGATGTTGGAAAACTTTCTGGTATAGATAAGATCCAAACAGGGCCGGGGATTTAGCTCAGTGGTTTCACCCCGGTACCAAAAAAACAAAAACAACAAAACTTGGACCTCCTTCTTGGAGGAAACTGGAGTTCCTGAAATAGACTGACCCTTCCCTATGGAAGCAGCTCAGTCCCCATCTTAATAGTTTCACCCCATCTCAGGGAGCGGGATATTGCAGGAATTCTAAGGGTGCGTGTGGAGGTGCCCATAATCACCTTGTTACATGCCTATTGTACTTTCTAGCAGTTTCTATACATTACAAACCGGATCTCTAACCTCATTTTATAGATTAGAAAAAACAATTGCAGATTTACACAAAGTTGGAAGGCTCTCTTAGTGTTCAGACCAAAACCCTCAACACTCAGGAAGGAGTCAATGAAGCACTGTGACACTTATGATCACCTCATTTATTCATATGACACTTGTTTCCTTTCCACCATGAGAACAGATCCCAGGAAGTGGCTTGTCTCAGTCCAGCACACTTCTCTGTGGGTGCCCACCAGACAGGTCACCAGGAACACAATACAGTAAACAAACTGTTTAGTATTCATTGAATCCAGAACCCACACGACACTCACGAGTTGTGGGTCATCTCAGTAAGGGAAGTGAGAAAGAACCTGGAGGATTGGGGCTTTGGTTGGGTGGTGTAGGTGCTGTTGGGAAGTGGGGATAATTCCCACTGGGCAACTTACTCAACCTCATCAAGGTCAGAAGAGTGAAGATAAAGTGAGAATTGGTAAAACAGCACTCACACAGGCTAAGGACTGGGTGGGAAGGGGAAGTTTGGTATTTTGTGGCCTACACTGTGACCTTGTTTCTGCCTATGTTTACATAAATTATGAGATAGACATTCTTTTCATCTCACTTCATCAGGGTCACAGCATGACCTTGTCTGAGGCTGGTGTTTTGCGATGGTTTATTTATATTGAACAAGAAAAGCCCATGGCCCTGCTCTGAGTGCCAGGCTAGTTCCTGGCTGTCAGCAGGTTTTTCCTTTTCTCTCTTCAGCCTTGTCTCTTGTGCCTGGGAGATGATGAGGGAACACGTAAGGCAGGACAGCTTAATACCCCCAGGACTTATCTGAGTAGGCTGGCTCTGCCACGCATCTGTCTCCCCTCAAAGATCCCGTGGAGAAGGGCCCCTTTAAACACCACTCATTAGCAGCCTACCCCAACATATGTCCACTTTTAACAGCATCTGACTAGAAAGCAACAGGAAGGACTTGAACCTGGATCTTATGTCCTCTGACCCTTTGCTTCCCACGTGATTGTAATGATGGTGTCAGCTGGTGACCATCCCATACTGGAACCTCAACTTGTGATTCCAAGTCCAAGGTTTTTTTCACACAATTATTCAATGTGTCTAAAATTCTACCAGAGCTCAAAGTCAGGGCAACAACAGAAAAGACACAGAATCTTTAGGGGGCACCTATGGGGTTCACCAAGGTCCCCTCTAACCCTACAAGGTGAACACACAGATTGGGACAGGTGGTGCAGGGAGACCCCAGGAAGAGCTGAGTGGTAATAAGTTTTAAATTTACTCCCCTCTCATCCCTGAGATTCAAGTCCCTTTTATTCTTGCACATTCCCTGCAAATTCCCATCTGAGGGAAAGTTCTGCAGTGAGTTCATCATTCATTAACCGTTACTCTTCAGATGATGTTTCATCTCAAAGCCTACTATCATGAGAAGGTAAGAAACAAACAAACAAACAAACAAACAGGACTGTAACCTACAACACTCACACAACCTTCTTGCCCAGGAAGAGCTTCTGTGGAATTCCACACTGTTGGTTATGGCTTGTATTCAGATGTTTCCTCAAAGCCTCATGTACTCATATGTGGGGCTTTTCAGAGGTAGCTGAAGTGGATTAAGAGTGTGATAACTAAGTTAGTCCACTGATTGCTTTAGCATAGTTCTGGGTGTGGGTAATAGAAAGCAACACCCTAGGTGTGAGTGGCACCAATCAGTAGGCTTGCAGCCTGGATGGAATATAAAGGGAGAGAAAAAAGGCAGGTTCCCTGCCAGGTGCTTCCTGCCTACCCTGCCCCGGACTGTTTCTCCCTCTGCCATGCTGCCCTGCCTTGGAGCCGGCCAACTCTGGACTGGGACCTCTACAAACTGTGAGCTGAAATAAACCTCTCCTCCTTTAACTTGTGGGTGTCAGGTATTTTGTCTCAGCAATGAGAAAAGTAATTAAGACATTGCCTTACAAACACCTTGTATGCTTACTCTTGGGAAAGAAAAATGTGAAAGATGCACCCATGTAATTTCTAACTTGAATACAATAACCTCAAGATTGTCAATACTTCATTATAATCACATGGGACGTGAGCACAAAATTAGGAATCCTTTTTACAAAATCTCATGTCATTTCTGACTAGTCTCTCATAACCAAAATGAAGTTATCTTTAGTTTGTAAGTTCCTCCTGTTTGGTTCAAAGCACTTGAAATGAGATGTGTACCCAAAAATGAGAACAACAGGTTGTTAAGTGAATAAAATCACTAGTCACACAGCTTAAAGACTCTTGTCCCTGATTTAATTTGGCTAAGTTGGAGTATGCTTTAATTATTTGGTAATAACATAAACAAATGGCTTAGAAATGGCAGGATCTGATTTATAAAATCACTGTTAAGGCTCTCAATATACTTTCTCCTTTATTATGACAATTAAGAGATGAAACATTCAAGGCCATTGCTACAACATAATGGATTCACACTGTTTTTGAGATTGTGTCACCGCTAGGAGGTGAAAGGCAATGCCAAAAGCAGGCAGGAAGGAAAGTGGGGCCCCACGGAGGAGAGGAACAGACCTACTCTATGTAAAAGTGCCATCTGCACAGTGAAACCAGGGCAAATGTCAGCACAGTCCTCACACATTACACAACTTAAATTTTAAATTTCTGTTCCTCACAGACATTTCTTCTGAGCCAAGAAATGAGGAACCCTATCTGCTTCATTTTTCTATGTCCCAAATGCTACCACAATGCCTCACACTCAAATGGTGTAAAACAATCGCTTAATTAAAAATCTCTCCACCCAGGGTATCTCTAGAAAAATCTAAGTAGTTTATTTTTAGGATTATGCCCACAACCAAATTTTTTTCCAGTGGGAACAGCAATAACTTAGCAAATATTTTTATCTTCATATAAATATAAGGCAATGAATAATATGGAAGGCTTTGTTCCCTATTAAAGGTGTTGTAAGTGTCAATGAAAGGAGGAGACACTCAGAAAGATAATGAACACTTCCCATTTTTCAGAAGTTTTGTTACCATAGCAGCTCGGTAGTAACAGGCCTATCCTATAAGCCCCATTTGACAGACAGGAGAAAACAAGGTCATAAAAGTAAAACCTACTCAAAATGTCTTCTCTTCCTTTGATTTTCCTGGCAACAGGTGACTTTCCCAACAGCCTGTTGCCACTCAGTTTCAACCATAACACCCCAACAAAGGATGGGCACTCAACATTACAACACAGTACCCCCACTTTGGCCTGTGGGCTGTATTTCCTTAGCTGGGCCCAGGTACAGATTCAGATGACAACTTCTGTTCCATATATGGATTCCTTCCTGGTGACTAGTTGGGAAGAAAGGTTCTCCTGGGGATAACCACAGGCTTCATTCTGAGACTCCAGGGCAGGGACTGGCATCTGCTGCGTTCTGTGGAGGCAGTGCTGTGTGCCAGCTGAGGATTACTGAAGCTGGAATCCCCACAGCTCAAACAAGCCAAGAAGCCCAGAGCCAGGACCGCATCCCCTTATCTTCCTAGAAACCAGGTGCTGGTAGGACCCCTGAGCTGGAAGCCACTTTATTTTAGGAACTGAATCTTTCATAATTAGTAAAGTCCCAGAAAAGGAATTCACTGTGAGTTGCATTAGCCTCAATCCACTGACTTTCTCAATGAGCTATTCCCCAGATACAAGTTTCTGGATTGAGTTGATCTTTTTCACTCAAAAAAGTAGTGTGTTATCTCCAGAAAATTGATTTTATCAACCTTGACAGTAGCGCTGCCTTTACTATCACAGTAACTAAAATCTTCTTTGTGTTTCTATTGCTTCAAGATTATGTTTAAAATGATTCCCTGGACATGAGACTCCCTCCTGACTCACTTCAATAAAATGGATCTTAGGTCAATGTGTGTAAGAGTACCCAGATATGATTCTCTAGAAAGAGAATTCCTATCTTATTTATTTTTTTATTTTTTATTTTTATGCAAACAATTTTAGGGGCAGGGTGTTAGACTGAAATTTCACAAGATTGACATTATTGCTTAAAGTGCTTGAATTGGTTACATTAAAAAACTAAGGTACAGATTATTTTAAATAAAAACTACAAGTCTTTTTTTTTTAGCAACAAAATCAAGTGAATGCCACACAAATACAGTAACTATTTTTGTTATACAGAAATGGGAGCCAAAATAAATTAATACTAGAAAACAGAAATTTAATTAGGCAGAAAATAGGAAATAATTTTCACTAACCCATGCCATTTACATGAGTTAATAACAATAGTGCTGATAAATGCCTTGACCATATAATAGCACAGGAGGGCAAAACATTTAGTGCACAGTATTTTAATACACATGAATATACAAAGTTGATCAAAACACAATGTTCAAAGATAAAATCCATCTGTAATAAAGCTACAATCCAATATCTAAAATAAGCCCTAACTGCCAGTTAGAACATAGCTCCTTGTTAGGCATGCCCATAAAATTAAGGATATTCATGAAAATAAATGTATAGGGACCATTTCTGTCATTTTTTTCCATTTCATCTTAAAACTAAAATATACCAAGCCATAAAATGAAGTATGACTGGCTTTCTATTCAAACCCACAGCCTGATAATGTTCCTTGATCTCTTCACACCAGTCCACTTGGTATTGCCTTGGAATGGAAGATGCATCAAGATAAGAGCACTGGATGTCAGCATTTTATCAAAATTTGCTTTTAAACAAAAGACTTTAGCATACTGTACCATAATCTAGACATGAAACTACTAAGTAACCAATAAAGCAAATATTTATTTTTTCAAGTGTAAAACACTGTAACTTATCTTAAACACCCAGCAGTTAGAGAAACACAGCAGGCCTACTAACTCCTGCTGGAAAGACACACAAAACCCTGGCCATTGGAGGGAGTACTGCTGAGCCTTTGTGCTATCACTGTGAGTGTGGAATGGCCTTGCATACTCCACAGGATTCTCTGCTTTATGCTAGGAATGGGAACCGAAAGTAACAAAGTGTGTCCATGCTATTGTCTTTACATAAAGAAAAATGATTGGGGGGAAAATGTAGCTGCCTAGAGTTTTTTTTTAATCCAAGAGGAAGAGGTGAGAAATTACCAAATAGCTCTAAATTTTTTAAAGCTGATGGAGTGTTGATAGAGAAATGTGTTTTAATCTTTTCTAATCTTCTCTTCTTGCATCACATAACTATTTGAATGTCTGTGCAATATTCTCCATATTTATTTTTTATTCCAAAAACTCTATCCATTTTTTTATTCCAAAAATCTATGAATACTAAATTTTAACTAACTCTATTAAAAGCAATTACTTCAGTTAAAATCACCGGGGAAAATTCTTTACATATTCATAAAAGGAAAGAAAAATGCACTGAACTTATGACTTAATACTGAATTATTACTTCCACAGGCCTGAAATTGAAACATTTTTATCTAATAAATTAGCTTCAAGAGTGGATTCAAAGATAATTTTAATAGTTTTTTTCTTATGAATCAGTTCCAAATATATTAGAATTCAATCATCATGTTCTTAAACTTTGTAACTTGCAGTCAAATATATGGGTTATATATAGTACAACATTTCCTTGTATCAATCACCTTCAATTGGAAAGTGATTTTTTCCTTTAAAGACTAAAATCACCTCCTAGGTATCTGACCACAGAATGTTTCGTGGAGAAAAAAAAAGAAACTATTATAAATATGAATTTGCCTCTAATTAAGGCAAGATACATTTTCGTCACTTGTATGAAACAATAACATGAAGATCACCCTGTTTTGTCTTCTCCAGTGAAGAGTAAAACATTTCACTTCAAGCATGAACAAATGAAGTGTTGGCATGCTTAAGTTCTCAGCAACAAACAGTTCAAGATATTTAAAAAATAAGAAATCCAGTTTTTATCTAGATAAAGTGCTATCCTCTTCATGGTTGCAAAATGGCCACTAACATTTTCAGTTTTAGTTCACATTATGCCAAGAGTTTGCATGTTTGTTCGCAGATGTATTAGGTAACAAAATAATGTTCACAGTATATTATAGTGTATGGAAGTCAACCGACTTCTCAAAGGAAGTCAAGATCTATGACTCATAGTATTTTAGGAAACCAAAAACCAGCTCAACAGCAAAACACCAAACTGACCCTTTTAATAAAAGGTACCAATATTCAAATGCTCTAATAAATACATATGTAACAAAAGTGGAAAAAGTAAAAGTAACTATAGTGAGATGAGGTTCTTCCAAAAAACTCTGTCTTGTCAAGCATTCTAGGAGTCTGAGCCAGAGAAACAGCTGCCATCTTGCTCATTGCTCCACCGGCCCACTAACACTTCCGTCTACCCACCTCACACCCTGCTAGCTCCAGCACTGCCTCCAGCGAGGGCTCCATTTTAGCCCCGGAACTTGCCAGTGCCTCAGTAAACAGACCAAATACATTAAAAAATCAAGCTGATGGGGCAGCTGGTGGTTGTAAAGGTGCAGTGTTTCCACTGCTCTAACATGGAAAGATGGTGGTGCTGACTGGCTAAGGAGAGATGTGCCAGAAGCAGTCAATGTGGTGTCTCAGCCCCGGGACCACAGATTGCAAGACATCAGCAGGATTGGAAAGGCAGCTTGAAAAGTTTAGCAGTTCCAGGTACAGGATAAATACAACTCACAGGACCTTACAGAATTAAAGTGTCACTAAAAATTAACAGCATCGAAATTTTTTCCTGAAACTTGATTTTGGTAAAAAGACAAGAAGAGCAATTTTTTACTGTCCACAGAAACTTTTTCCTCTTGGCTTTGCCTGCCCTGAGCTCCATAACTTCTTAGCCCCTGGAATTCCATGGCTAGGTCAGCACAGCCCGGTGCAGACTCCAGCCACCACACACAGCTTCTCTTCACCCTGGTCTATGTGGAGGATGATTTTTATTATCAAGTTTACTCACTTTTAAACATTTTCCCTTGCACAAACTTAAAGCTATAATTGCAGCCCTAATAGGTGAACATCTACTCAATTCTTCTGTCCTTCTGTCAGATAAGCTAAAAAATGTGTAGCAATACTTCGAGGGACAAGTTAAAGGAATGGATTGAAAGGAGACCCCTGAAGTTTCGTAAACACTCAAAATAGACTGTGACATTTCCTGGAAATGTCATTCTAATTTAGCTAGACATAAGAAGTGGCATACCATTCACCCAAATCCTCAAATTAGCAACTGTTATTCATATAAATCTTATGACAATCTGATTGCAGTTCACTCTACCTCAGACCAAAACAAAACCAAGAGTAGTGCTGCATATAAAAAAAGAGGAGGAAGTTAACACAGCCAGACCATTGAGACTCGGAGTGATAACATTAGTGGGCCACTGGGAAAGAAGGAGGTCCGTGGAGAAACTGGGTAATAATGCTTTGAACAAAGCCCCCTACTTGAATTAGTCCCACGGTTCTTTAAGTTACTCTCTTGACTGATAGAATAAAATATATCCAGATTCTGAATTTTTTGAAATATCTGACGTCAGGCCATAGAATTCTTCAATAGCTTGAGCATCTATTTTCTGCAATGAAGGAAAAAGAAAACAATGCAATTATTTAACATGATTCCTGGGGAAAGGAAAACTAATGGATAATACAATAAAATTTAAGAAACACAGCTGTTATAAAATCACAATTAGGAACTTTTGATACCAAACAGTATGTCATAGGCCTGACAGAGGGGCATCATTATATTAACTGAAAATCACTAGGGAAGAAAGCCACAATTTCATGTATCAGTAACCATTACTGTGAATTCTTTGAAGAAGCCAGGAATTCTATCTCTCAAAATGGTAAACTGGAAGGTCTGGGAATAATTCTTAGTTATTTCTTAATTCATTCAGGCCCTGAGAGTTCATTTCCTTTACTGTTACACCAGTGGATTAAAATAGATCATGTCTTTGAGTGTAGTATTTACTCCAGCTAGTATTTCTTTACAACAAAATCAATATGTGAAATGCTTTGGTATAATATAAAGATTTTCAAATCCAACAGATTAAAAAAAAAAAAAATATATATATATATACACATTTTAAATAACAATCAATATAATCAATACAGGAAAATTTGTTATAATAAAAGCATTTTACTAGAACTCTGAAGTCTATTATTTGCCCTGTAGTACAGAGAGCTTTAGTCATGGTAGGAATTGTGATTATGGTGACATCGAGATTTAGAGATGCCGTCTAGATGGCTAATTAGTTAACAAGAACACAGTCATCCACAATCACACTGCTCTCTCCCTGTCCATGGAGAATGGGATCAGCAGGCACTAGTTTTGACAGAAATACAAAGTTTTCAAGTCAGATTATGGGAAAACTGGACTATTTTAGAAAACATCCACATCCCCTTCAAATCTCATCTATACCATATTCTTATTAAAGAAAAACTGCATACTAACCTCTACAATGTCGTCATCAAACAAAAGCCAGAAACCATGACTTTTCACAATAGTAATATAATGCCCACGATTGGGGCCACTGGAAAAGAACAAACAAAAGAAAGGCACCGAGTAAACATTTACTTCCTTATAAAACTATTTAGCTTTTTATTAGCCTTGACTCACTGGGGGTGGGGGGGGGGAACTAACATCATCAGGATAAAGAACTTGGTATAGCAGGCATGGTGGTGCAGGTCTATAGTCCCAGCTACCTGACAGGTTTAGGCAGCAGGGTAATTTGAGCCCAAGGATCTGAGACTTCAGTCTACGACCACAGTTTATGGAGGAGCACCTGGGTGCTGGAACCATGCTTGCCACAAGGAAATAAAGTGTATGAAAGGGATGACTTCTAAGGACTTGGAGTCCAATCGGGAAAAGAGACATTCAAATTTAGCAAATACTAACAAATAGTTACTGCTTACCTACTATATGTCAAGTCTTAATTCCAGCTGTCAGGAAGAACCGAATAAAACAAGTTCTCACTTTCTAGGGGCTTGGTGTTATGGATTGAATGTGTCTCCCAAAGTTTATATGTTAGAAACTTCATTCCCAATGGCAACAAGAATTGAGAGGTGGGACCTTTAAGAGGTGATTGATGCTCTTATCCTGAGAGTGCCTTTGTTACAAAATCGAGATCAGAGCCTTCTTCCTGTCTTTTACATGCCCTCCCCATGTGACACCTTCTGCCGTGGTATGACTCAGCAGGAAGAAGGCTTCACCAGATGCAGACCCTGGATATTGGACCTTCCAACCTGTAGAATCGTGAGCCAAAGAAACTTCGACGTAAACTACCCAATCTGTGGTGTTCTGTTACAGCAGCACAAAAGAGACTGAGACACTAAACTTTTAATACATGTTCAGCAGTGGTATATACAGTGAAGAGAAAACAGGGTAATGGGAGACTGTAATGAGGGGAAGGTATTATTTGATGGAAAGGAGACCTTTTCTGGAGGCTTCTCTGATAATATAGGATTAGTGCAGAAGAAAACTCTCCTGAAGGAAATGGGGGCCACAGAGGGGAACTCATGTGACTGCCTGACAGAAGTTTCAGGAACAGGGAACAGCACATGGAAAGGCCGGAAGTGAGGTTAGTACTTGGTGAGTCCACAGAACAGTTTGAAGGTAGGGTGGGTGGCTGAGTGAGCCCTGGGGAGCAGGGAGGGGGAGACAGCCAGAAAGGAGGGTGGGGGCAGACTGCATGGGTCCTCCCTGCTAAGATTTCAGACTTCATGCTGAGTGAGCCAGGGAGACAGGGGAATTCTGAGGATTGGTATTAACAAATCATAAAGCCTAGTAATTAATGAGTGCCTACACATAAAGGTATACAATGCACAATACAGAAAGAAGTAGAAAGAATAATTGCTACTTTTCAGTATGTTAAATTTACACGAGGGGAATTCAATCCTAAATCTAGACTTGTTCAGCTTTTCCCCCCTTTATTAGTGTAAATAGAATCATCGTGGGGATTTGGTACATATACATAGTGCATCTTGATCCTCTTTAATGCACCATTGAAGTTGAAAAGCTGAATCCCAACCCTTTTCTCCTTAGTTTGCCTTCTTTCAACACAAAATCCTGTAATACCTTCCCTCATTATTCTCTCTCCCATTACCCTGCTTTCTCTTCTTCACTGCATGTACCAACACTTGAACACATATTAAATATTCAGTGACAGCCAGTGTGCTTCTGTGCTTATCATCCATCTGTCCCGCCAGATCCTAAGTTTCATGCAGGTAGGGGCCTTGTGCCATATGTCATGCTCACTTCAGGATCTTCAGATCTTGGCACAGAACCCAGGCAAAAGGAGTTCAAACCCCAGGAAGCCACTCCCTCCCCACATATAGGCCAGCCTGCCTGTGAGGGTGAGTTTAAAGCATCCTACTTAGCAGTAACTAGTTAGCACTTGGCACTAACTTGTTCCTGGGGCTCCAAGAACCTTGTATGTCTGTTATAGAAACTGATGATTTGGAAACCAATCTCCAACAGGTCCCCCAATCCCCCTAAATGCCCTCAGCAGCCCTTCCAAGGATTAGAATCAGGCACCCACAGAGATCCAAACTACAAGTGCCCTGTGCATATGAGTGTTTCTCTTTCCCCTCACCCAGCTTCCCTGGCACACCTTGCTGATCCACAGTCACCACCACCTGCGATGCCCACCCATACCAGGCTCTGCCTGCCGCATACATCCTCCAACATACCCCAGTGTGGGGTCTCCCCAGTGTTCATGGTTGGGTTCCATTCACTGGGTTCTACTGCATTCTTCAGAAGAATGGCTGTTAGAATTATTCTTCAGAAGAACACAAAGCTGGCTCCTAAGTGACCGATGAATATAACTTGAGACCTAAGAAAACATCCTGTGACTTGAAGCTAATACACCCAGGACAAAACGTGGCATGTACCAGATGTGAAGCTACAGTTTCTGATACCATCCATCTCCACATGGAATGAAAAGGAAATCCGCCCATGCCCCACATGATAACAGTATGTTCTTGGCAATGGTACTTTCACTGCATCTCATCCAAGCAGATGGAGAGGAAATCATGCTTGCTCTATACAACACACCTCAAGCGAAAACTTACACTGACCAGAGAAAAGCTATTCCTATCCCAGAGAGAACAAGCATCTGTCCCCATTGAGCAAATAGCGAACAGATAGATTCTGATATACTTTTCCACACTTATGCCAATTATAAAACTTTTTTAAATGCTGAAACAACTTTCAGAAAAACACCTTGCTTTTCCCTATCTGGAGGCCTTCTCTTTTTCTGATAATATATACTTATTGTAGAATGTGGGGGAGAAAAAACTAAAAACGTTTGCATAAAAAACTTTTAAAATAGCTTTTTATTCATTCAAAATGCCACAAAATCATTAAATCTGATTTTTTTTTTAGTTGTTATAGATTTTAAAATACTTTTGAGATCATTCTACATGTAACCGTGCTTTTTAAAAACTAAAATTACATCGCCGCCTGCTGCACAAGTGCAAGGACCCGAGTTCGATCCCTGGTACCAAAAAAAAACCTAAAATTACACCATAAATTCTTATTTCTCCGTGCTATTTAAAACTCACCACAAGCATCATTTCTAATGGAGATTTATTAAATTACTTCCCTTACAATAGAATATCTGGATTACCACTACTGCAATGCTACTTATTTTATATGTGTCTCTAGGTATGTCTATGTACAGTCATACATCACATGATTACATCTCAGTCAATGGCAGATCAGTCCCAGAAGAGGACATTGGCTTGAGATGTGGTAGCCTCAGAGTAAGCACACTTTACAATATCTGCACAATGAAATCAGGTAATATCATAATTCATAGAACACATCCCCACTGTTAAGTGACACAAGTCTGCAGGTTTTGGGGTGACCAATAAGAGTTTGGATGACATTCCCAAAAGTACTGAGTGTCCCAGTACAGCAAGGGTGCAGCTAGGTACATTTTAGCAAAGAAACAACCCCTGCATTTATCATGCGCACCTGGTTCCAGCCCACCTTTACCTGCCACAGTGAACGACCACGGCAACCAGGTCATACATGCGGTCCAGGTTCACGGCATCACTGGAGGTGTTGAAGAGCCGGAGCTCGAGAGGGAAGACCACTCGGTAAGACAGCTTGGTGTACCTGTGGAGCTGTTCCATGTACTTGAACCGCTTTAGGTGCAGGGCCAAAATCATGGGGAGCTTTTTTACCCTCATCCTAAGAAACCATAGAACAGAAAATCAGTTGAGTCCAACACCTGTCAGAGGAAGAGAATACACTGTCATTTGTACAAACAACATCAGAAAGAGTCTAGCACCCTGTAGACCAGCAAAGAGCCAAACAGTTTGCAAGAAGAAAAGTTAGTTTGCCAATAGAAAGCTGATTTAGATACACCCTTAGCTCAATGGAGCATGGCCAGCCAGAGAAAAGCACAGTAGTGTGTCTCAGGGCAAAGCAGACATTCTAGAATTTGTGTACCAATAAAAACACGATGTGCCAATGGCATCTGTCACTGGTAGAATATATTTAGACAATCCACCCCTTGAGATACTGACAAGACTGACAGCTTTTGAGAAAAGGGAGTTGGGAAGAAGACAAGCCAGAAGGGTACGGAACTTCACGCTCTGTGGATGACAGGAGGAAGCTTCAAGCACACACTCCTGGGCTTCAGACACAGAGTGGCAGGCTCACTCTCACTCCCGACTCCTGTGATCTTGAGCAAGTTAATCCTTTCTTGTGGCTCTCACTTTCTTCATTTGAAATGCAGGAGTTGATTTGGGGATACATTTCCCAAACTAGGCTCTAGAGAGCACTGGAGATGTTAGCAGGTGTGGTGTTCTGATGTCTATGTTTAGACAAGGCTACTTCCTATTTAAAACTTTCTGAGTACATTAGTACAATGAAGGTCTGGGAAATCTTGCAGCAAAGGAACTGTTCTGGTTTGTTTGAAGCAGCATGTCCCAAACTCACATAAACACAAAAAGCTTTTTTCACTAGATGGCTGTTACAACCCTAAGAGCTTCTGTAGATAGCACTCCTGGAAGAGAGGCTTCTAGTTACTCTCCATGTCCCCTGCACTACGGGTGTGCTCAAATTGTAAACACTGTTTGGCTTGTACCCACTTTCAATGCATATTGTTTGAAAAGGACAAATTTTAAAAGAATAAAACCCTGTTCATTAAAATTAAAAATTCATAAAAAATATAAGAATTATGGGAGATGTCTTATTTTATAGGAATAGATGACATTTTAATGTATAAAGCCTCCAGAGCTAAACAGAAAACACCTTCACACCACACAGGCAGACCTGGGGCTGCCTTAGGCAGACAGATTATTAGGAAGGAAAGCACAGGTGAGTTCCCTGTCCTCTAACAAGAAACATCACCTACCACCTACACTGCTAACTTCAGCAGTGACTGATCTTTTCTAAGTTCTGAAACATCAAGAAAGATGTACATGTCTAGGCTAGAAGGTTGAGGAGGCTTAGCAAAGAAATCATTTCAGTCTCAGGTCTGGACCTCCCCAGCCCCCCCACCCCCATGCCTCCCCTCGGCTTTAGCAATATTGAGCTCCTTCAAGCTACCACGAAAACTCCAGATCCACTAGCAAGATAAATTTAACTCTCAGTAAGGCTGCTTGGGATGATTAAAACGTCAAGCTTCTTGACCTCTGTGGGCAAATAAAGGGGAACAACTAGTAATCTCAGATTGTCCAAGAGCTGTAATTGACAACTACTGGTAAAATGATGGGAAACTTTGAGTCCTATATTCAATTCAGAACACAGTAACTTTCTTATCACCTCTCCTTGCAACTGATGTGTTCTTGACTCCCCACAACTTATCAAATGATGGATTTTTAAAAATCTCTGTAAAGAAGTCCCAATGTCTAAGTAATACAACAATAACATATGGTACTGTATCTACTGTATGGTATGTTCTGTGCTAAGTATTTGTTTTTTTTTTTTTTTTTTTTGGTACCAGGGATCGAATTCGGGTCTTTGTGCTTTCAAGGAAAGCGGCAGAACCACTAAGCCAAATCCCCGGCCCATGTGCTAAGTATTTTATATAGTTTATCTTTCATTCAAGAGGTGAATGATTACAGTTGATCCCCACTTATTTACCCAAGTATGTGGCAGATAGCAACACTCAATATCTGCTGGCTGAGTGGCTGAAGGAAAGTGCAAACTATCAGACAAATGGACAACTGCAAGGTCTGCATTCTTGTGTAAGTTTTACTGGTGAGGAAAATAAATGGGCCCCAAAGCTCCATGAAGCTGAGACTCAAAACCAGACCTGTTGTGCACCAGTCTGGTTCCTCCTCCTGACACAAAGCCACTTCCAGGCCAAATCCTTTACGCACCTTTTCTGGGCCTCCTGCTTGCTGCAGCATGTTTCACAATAATATTTTTGTTCACTACACAGTGTTTCTGTGTTGCTGAAGTCTCTGTAGAGAAAAATATTTTCAGCTTTTAAAAACTCCAAACATACTTGGTACACCACGTTTTATTTTTTTTTTGGTACCAGGGATCGAACTCCGGTCCTTGTGCTTGCGCAGCAGGCAGCAAAACCACTGAGCTAAATCCCCAGCCCTACACCACGTTTTAAACCCTTTTGTTAGCTGTAGGGTGATTTTTAAGTGAAAATAAGGAAAGGAGCAATCAGAAACGGTCCTTCTTAAGACTAGGGGCTATATACACCATTACAGCATGTCTACTAGACTGGGTTTTCAAATACAATTTTATTTGGGAGGATACAAACAGATACAAACTAAAGTTTCCAACAGATTCAGCAGAAAAGTTCAGGATTTAACAGTGGATACTGGTAAACTAGATATTAACGATTATAACAGAAAAATACTCTCTCATAAAAATATACCCTAACACTGTAAGTCAGGTCCAAAAAAGATAATCACATAAACCACAAGATGACATTATTGTGAAGTTAATGAAAAACAGTATGTCTCCCAGGATCCATATTTTCATGGACCTGAGAGGAAATAGTGAAATTTAAATCATAGACAAATGCCCTTATATTGAACCAAGAAAATCTCAAATTATAGGAGGTAAGTGCAGCCTACCCCATTCCTGCTCTCCACCACTTCCCCACCTCCCCGGAGTATAAAAACTGGCCTGCCTCTTTCCAAGAACAAAAGCCACTGTGTTTGTTCTATGTGTGTTCATCTTATCATAAGGTTTTACTTGCTACTTATAGTTTTCATTTTTCAAATGTCATGCCCTTTCATTCTTTTCTGGTTGTAGAGATTCTACTTAACATTTCTGTGGTTTGCTTCAAAAGGCTGAAAAGAACATCCTGAATATAATACCCTACAGTCTTGAAAAATGCCTGTGATATTTCCTTATTCACAGAGTGTCCTGGCAGCAGAATGGTCAGATTTTATTAAATAGAAAATGGCATTTAAATGATGTTAATGACTCTACCTCTTACACAGAACCTATCAAAAGACAAAACAGCCTGTTCATTTAATAAATCCCCAGACATTCACTGACAGTCCCCTGGGGATGCCCAGACTACCCGCCCTCACACAGCTCAGTTTACAGCACCATGCACAGGAGCCGGTCACCACATGAAATGTTCACTGCCACTTACACACATGGCATGGCACAGAACTCCCCTGTCACGGCTTCCTTATTAACTAGATAAAGCACAGGAATAGCCAGGCACCATGGCGCACACCTGCAGTCCCAGCAGTGAGGAAGCTTGAGGCAGGAGGATTACAAGTTCAAGTCCTGCCTGGGCAACTCAGTGAGACTCTGTTTCAAAAGAAGAATGAAAAAGGGCTGGGGCTGTAGCTCAGTGTGAAGGCCCTGGGTTCAATCGCCGCTACTACAAACAGAAAAAGGAATAAAAGCCAAACTTCTCTGCATGTGGGATGGTCATCAGAAGGCACCTTGCTTTCTCTGGGCTCCGCTGGGCTCCAGACACACTGGCCTTGGACTGCACTCATCCTGCCTTGGGGCATTAGCACAGACCACTCCTCCACCCCATGCCTGCATAGCTGCTGGGCTAGCTGTTAAGACCTCAGTGCACAGATCCCCTACACAGAGAGGACTTGGCTGCTCACTCTGTCCAATCACCCAGCCCCATCGCGTTGCTGTCTGTTTTTCTTCAGCAACCATGCCCCCATCTGAAACACTCTCCTATTTATCTGATCACTTGCCTGCCTCTCTCACAGCTGTAGCCCCAGCCTGACTTATAATGGCAGCACTCAATATTTATTGGCTGAATGAATGAACTAGCAAAAACAGAACCAGGGATGGCCGGGGATTTAGCTTAGTGGTTTCGCCGCCTGTTCCACAAGCGCAAGGACCCAAGTTTGATCCCCGGTACCAAAAAAAAAAAAAAGAACAGAACCAGGGAAAAGCAAAGAAGAAGAAGAATGAACTTTAACTGGGGTACTTCAGGAAGTTTCCCCAAAGGGCAATGACAGAGATATGTTCTCAAAGAGGGAAAGCGTGCCGAGGTTCAAGAGGCAGGAAACTGTAGAGGCCCTGAGGCTTGACACAGACATAGGTGCACAGGAGGGACCAGGGCTGCTGTGCATGATGAGGCCTTGAGTACGCCAAGAGGCTGGAATGGATCCTCAGGCGCTAGAGCCCCACAATCAAGTCTTGGCAAGAACAAGACCCCAGTGGACACTGCTTCTGAGAAATACCACTTTGGGTAGTACTAAAGAGGAAGAATTGAAGGGGGTCAAAAGCCAAAGAAACCATTTAGAAGGCAATTATACTCAACTTTCAGATTTCAACTGTTTGATGCATAAACTTAGCTCAACGGATACTTCCACTGAGTAACTGCTGTGAAATCCTGACTCCGTGGAGTAGGATATGAAGGGAAGGGGAATATGGACAATAGTTGTGGGATTTATAGTTGTGGAATGCCCCCCAACAAATCTCTTCAGCTAAAGAATCAAAATAACTAAGGAGAGCTTGGCAAGAATAAGGAATTAAATGCTTTCTTTTCACTCCTACATCTCAAAATATGTTTCTTGTAGACTCAAAGATATATACAGCAGAAATTGTACAGGTTGAACATCCCTAATCCCCAAGTCAGAAAACACTCCTGGTCCCATGCACTTAAAATAAGGGATATGCAACCTGTACTAATTTAAAAACTCAATTTACGAATATTCACCATCCTGCCCTGGCCCAGCTGGCTGGAAGCCTAGTGCCATGAGAAGCAGGGTCATCGTCTCATGGCATCTGAGTTAAGAAATGGAAAAGTCAGGAAAAGGGGCTGACCTCAGCAGTAAAATGAGCCAATGCAGGTCTGTCAGTTTAAGGCAACAGCTGTTGGAATAAGTGGGTGACAAAGGTAGAGGAGGAAGTTTTCAAGGAGGAAGTCAAAGCAGAGGCTCTTTCTCACACTTAGGATAAATTACAAAAGCATGGAGAAGAGATTAGGGGGAAAGTGCAAGGCTCTTTGTATTTCTTTTTTTTTTAAAGTCTTACTAGCAATCAAACACTACTTAAAGATACACTTTAGGAAAAATCTAATAAGAAATACATACCTTTATAAAGGAAACTATAAAACTTTCTTGACATATATAAAAAAACTTCAATAAATGGAAAGTGAGTTCCTGCAGGGGATGGCTTTCCTCTAGTGTGGAGACAGCTATCATGTCCAAGTTAACATCTATATTCAACACATTTTCAATTACAATCTTAACCAATTCAACACAATAGCTCAAAAACTGACTTGGAAAAAACTCTCAAGCCACGCTTCCTGGTAATTTCCACATCCCCCATGTGGAAACTGACACTCGCTGAGAAGCACATGGGGTAAACTGATGTGGCTGCCCTGATGGTGCCAGGCCACTGGGCAGTGGCAGTACCACGCCCTGCTCAGCCTCTCAGGAGCTGAGAGGATCAATACACACCAGGCAGGAGGATCACCATGAGTTCAAAGCCAGCCTGGGCTACATAGTGAGTTTGAGGTCAGCCTAATCCTGTCTCAAAAAACAACAACAACAAAAAGAAACAGAAGCAATCTTAATACTCAATGGCATCCATCCTTTCTACTCCCATCCCAAAAATTACATCTGAATCCAGGTATTATTGTTTTTGAAACTTCCTGCAAATTCTGGTTCACTGCCACACCTGTTCCAAAGAAGCCCAACTGTTTGAGTACATCTGAGCCACCTGGGAGTCCTATCAAACTGCAGATTCTGATTCATTCCAAGGTGGGACCTGACAGTCTGCATTTCTAATGAGATCCCAGGGGATGTCTGTTTGAGTAGCAAGGAGGTTCTCAAACTTGTGTGGTATTGTTATCGGTCGCTCAGGTTTGCACCACTCCCTGCTCCAAGAACAGATCTGTGGTTTAAAAAAAAAGGATTTATTCAAAGCCAGCTGTCAAGGAGATGGAGAGAGGCCTCTTACTGCCTCACCATATTTAGGTGTGAAAAGGCTTTTATAGAAAGGAATAAAAGGGAGAAATACAATGAGACAATAGGCAAGGAAATTTCCCAGTCATTTCATTCCACAGCTATTCTTCCCTCCCTATGAAAAGGACCAAACCCTAAACTCCTGGGGCTAACATCTGCATATTCCTTCCAGACAGAGGTGTTACCTCTCTGTCCAATCATCTGCTGAGGTGAGAAAGGGGTGGCAGTTTATCCTCTGGGCAGGAGGACATTTAGAGAAGCAGCTGATCTCTAAAAGAAAAAAATCTTAAATTTTAAAGATCAGTTTTATCCTTTTGGTTACAGTATCAGAATCACCAGAACATCAATTAAAGACAGAGGCCTAGTTTCAGTGAAGTTCCTGAATATGGCCTGGGCTCTATTTTTCCAATTTCCCAGTTGATTCTGATACACACCTATTTTTAAGAACCACTGAATCAAATATTAAAGACAATTTTAAAAAAGAAATCCATAAGTCAGGCTGTGTGTCAGATACTGGGAAACACCATACTGTATTATGAATAATAACCAAAAGTGAAGCACAGATCAGAAAAAGCAATAGAGAAGCAGTGAGAATGGATGTATCCATTAACTTAGTACATAAAAGAAGTTTCTCAAAGTAAGTAGAAAAGGAATTTCTTTCAAAGGAGATTAATTTTCAAGTGAAAAGAGCTTCTGCTTTCCTTTTAACACCTGGCTGACCTCCCCGACACTGAGACAATGAGGATATTAAGTGAGCTGAAGACAGAGGAAGGGGAAGGTGCTGTTTCAGTACTGAGCACTTTGAAGAGAAAAGGTTCTGTGAAGGAGCCAAAGGGAGGGAGGAGGCCCTGAAGCAGAAGACAAAAAATACCAAAACCGCAGGCAAGGACAATTAAGATAATCTGCATGTATTTTAGGTTTTTGCCTGAGGGCATCCCTGAGCTTTTCAGAAAGAAAAAGGAAACTTTCAGTTTCTACTATCATACAAATGGCTTACCTTGCTGCAAGACACAGAACCTCCTGAAATACTAACCAGAAGTGTAACTCAACTACTCTATGGATGTACATCTTCTCTAGACCTATATCTTGAAATTAAGCACTATTTATACAATTTCTCTAGGTCAGAAGTTCAATAAAAATTCATTGTAATGGATCATCTAAAGCCCTTCTGGAAGGATGTGGCAGGAATCTTACATTCAAATCCCACAACGGTAGCTTGATTTTTTTAAGTTATTAAAATAAAAAGATGAAAGAAATATCACATCATAAGAGACATACAGACATGATGTTTAAAAAGAAAACTCATGAGTTCTACTATTAAAAACAAAAGAAAACAAATCAAATTAAATCATGAAAGGGACCAAGAAAGATCCTTGTTGTTTATTCTTGGGTCTCAGACAGGAAAAAGGAAAAGCTAAATGAATCTGCTAACTTTTGTTCCCTGGGTCTGCCCTGCACTCCCAGGTAGGGGTGGGGAGTTTGAAGGCTGCCACCCCATCCCAGAACTCTCAATGGTGAATCCCAAGTTGGCAGGTTTCTCTTTAGGTGTACATGTGAGAGAAGTGGAAGGTGAGTAGGCCAAGGTCTAGTTTAGAGATGATGTGAAATGGGAGTGGGAGTGTATTCACATTTCAAAGGCATTTGGGGGGCTGGTACATATACCCCAACCCCAGCATTAATATTTCCTAGTGCCTCTACCCTGCCTGCATCAGACACAAGGGCTCATCTCAAAACTGCACCCACTGCTACCTGCCCTCTGAATAGCCCAGGAGTTTCCTAGAAGGGATGGAAAGCAGTCAACCTTCACCGCATTCCATCATCTTTGACTGATGTTGCTAACATCTTAACTTTTTTCATACCCTACAATCATAAAACCTTGGGGAGACCAAAAATGGCTTCATTTCACAAGAATGTTGAAAACTGGTATCATTAACAGAACCAGGCAGGGGAAAGAGAGGTCATCCTGGCCTACAAAATACAGTTGCAAAAAGATGCAAATCTATCCTTGACACCTGGATCTGTGGTATTTGGAGACAAGAGCTGAGACACCAGAACAGCAGGAAGCATTTTGAGAACTGGGCCAAGTGAAGACTTACAGGTCTGGGCAAACAGAGTGGAACAGGTGCCCCTACTTACAGCACAACCAACATTGGGTGAACCAAGCTCTTCTGAGCTGCTCTCCTACTGCCTTTGTCTTAAAAGATGGGCCAGGCAACTACCCCGGCCAGTTCCTTGAGGCTATTCTTCTAAAAGGTTTCAGGTAATCTGAGGTCCTAAAAGAATAGTCCTGTCACCTGAGCCTTAATGATAAAAATCAACGGTGCTTTGTTTCAGCTAAATGTCTCTGAACACCAGTGTTTGGGGAGGCCCACCCCGACTACTCAGTCTTCACTGGTGCCTTCAGTGTCAACACTCTCTGGGTTTGATTTCCTTCAAAGCACTGGTCATCATCTGTGCAGTCCTATTAGAATGTATGTGCATGGGAGCAGGGGTCTAGCTACCATTTACTCCCCTCTCCTCAGTGTTGAGAACAGGGCTGAGAAAATTATAAGCACTCATTTTCTCTTAATGGAAGTGGGAATCTTGTCTACATGTCTAAAAAAATGGAGTGAAGGGAAATTCCCTCACTATTTCTGCAAATGCATAATTTTTAAAATGACAGAAGAGGTTATCTTAAGAAGAGTAATGAATGCTAGGCATCTTTGGCATTTATTAATGGAACTATACATGTGTATGCATATGTGGTAGTCAAAGCAAGAGAAGACTTTGATGAAAGCAAAAGCATACATCTGTACTAAAGATTAAAATTTTATTTTTAAATTCAGTGATTAATGACTCCCATCTGATCTTCTCTCTGCTCAATGAGACTCTTCTACAGACCACATATAGTTATTTTTAATTTCTCTTGGGAAATAAGAAACAGAAAATAATAGGATTATGCTGGTTAAAGAGCAAGGAAGATTATGCCCTGAAGAAATACAGGATTTTATTTCCCCCATTTATTTACTAGCCTGATCAAAAGCTCAAACCACAGTTAGAATTCTTGAGGTTACCTCAGACAGTGTGTAATGGAAGTGTTCTGCTCCACATCAACAGAAAGGTCAAGAAAATCTTCATCTTTGCTACTAACCTGAAGAAAAGAAAGGGAAAAATGTATTAAATGTATTATGAATGAAATACATAGTAGACATAGGAGCTAAAACTTTGAATCTTTTTTTTTTTCCTTTTTGTAGTCCTGGGGATTGAACCCAGAGCTTCACAGATGCTAGGCAAACATTCCACCACTGAGCTACATCCCCAGACCCAAAACTTTGAATCCAATTCCGAACAAGGTTTCCCAATAGTATAACTTGCAGTAAGAGTTAAGCATGGCTATATGTGCTCACTGGAACCAGTTGCATCAAAAACACCCCAATCTAAAGAACATACCAGATTCTCTATTCAGCCTCATCCCTGTTGTAATTTTGATTCAAAACTTACAATAATTAAAACTCAACCAATTGCTCTTCCTCTCTGGTCATTTCCTCCATTGTTTCAACACAGGAAGTTTCAGACAAACATCCAGATAGCGCAGCTTGGCAGAATGATGGGAATGAAAAAGGACAAGAGACACCAAAAAGCTTCTACTAAGATGGTCGCTCTTCATCAGGGTGTTTTCACTTTTTGCCAATCCCATGAATTCACTCCCTTACATCCGTGCTTCCTTGTTCAAATTGTGTGTGAAGCTGGGGAGCCAGAGAGTACAGGAACCACACATCCAGGCATCCTTCAGCCAGAAGCAGTCATCATTTACACAACCCTATGCTGTCTGTTATCACAAGCTGCCCTGGAGCCCTAGCTCATGTGGCCTGGTTGGCTCCTGGCAATTCATTGACCCTGGCTGCTTCTCAGGCTACCATAGGCCATCTCAGATCTACTCTGATCTCATACGCAGTGAAGCTCATTGAGAAAGCACTTACATTCCACTCAGTGCTGATCACACTGGGGCTTACTGTCTTGCTCTTACAGCAGGAAGGACAACATGGCCCCAGAACAACCTTTTTTTCTTTTGTCATACATCTGTCTTTATTATAAACAGCAGGTGGGACACTTCTAACAATAGTAAAATAAATAATTTACAAAAGTAGGTATTTGGGGCAGCCATTTGAGGGTACCCCAGGGACTCATAAGTAGATGCCAATCTACAGCAGGATAAAGAAAACAATGAAAATTAAACACCTTTAAAAGTGTGACAACATACCACTGCCCCAAGAGCCAAGGAGCAGAGGCCTCCCATCACCAAGGAGGTGAGCCTTTCGGGCTGCCTTACCATTGCCCTGAGCACTGAGGAGCAAAGCCCCCACTCCCAAAGCTAGGACCTGAGTCTCTCACACTGCAAAAATGAAATCAGAAATAATTTCTCGCATAACAGCAAAGATTGTGCCCATAGTGCAAGAGATGATTAATAAAACTAGAGAGGATAAAGATTAAAAAAATAGAGGAGCTGAGGAACATGATGGAACGCCAACATAGGAAACAAACTGAATACATAAAACAGATGCAAACAAATTTCCAGGAGATTAAAAACTCCATTGAAAGTATAGGCAGCAGAATGAGCCAAAGTGAAGACAGATTTTCACATATAGAAGATAAGATTGCTATTAGTGACAAGGAAAAGAAAAATTTCTTTAAAATAGTAGGAGACCACAAGAAATCAGTCCAGCAGCTGCTAATGATGCAAAGAAGAATAACATGAGACTGATCGGAGTCAATGAAGAAACAGGAGAGAATGCAGATGACATAAAAAAACTGATCACAAAAGTGATGGCAGAAAACTTCCCAGGCAGGGGAAAAGAACTTAGCATACAGATAAGTGAGGCACATAGGACTCCAAATAGCCATGATCAAAAACATCTACATATAGGTATATAATAGTTAAGACTTCAGAAACCCAAGAGAAGAACAAAATTTTACAAGCACTTAGAGAAAAGAAACAAATTTTATACAAAGGAAAGCCCATCAGAATCACAGCAGACTTCTCAACACAAACCCTCAAGGCAAGAAGAGCTTTAAGTGATGTATTTAAAGACCTAAAGGAAAACAGCCTCCAACCAAGACTGATGTACCCTGCAAAATTATCTTTCAAAATTGATGGAGAAACAAGATACTTTCATGACAAAGACCACCTTAGGAAATTCATGAATACCAAACCAACACTGCAAACAATTTTAGACAATATCCTAGGAAAAGACAATGAGAATCACAACCACAGGAAGTCCAGCAGAATGAATCCATCAGGCACAACAAGAAATTAAATGCAAAGGGGGAGAATCCAACAAAAAGAAACTGTCATGACAAGAATAAGTCAAGACGTTTCAGTTATAACCATCAATGTTAATGGTCTCAATTCACCAATCAAAAGAAATAGGCAGAATGGGTCAAGAAGCAAGACACAACAATATCCTGAATACAAGAAACACACTTAATTCAAAAAGAAACTCATAGACTGGAAGTTAAAGGGTAGAAAACAATACTCCATGTGACAGAAACCCGAAAAAAAGAAGTAGCTGTCCTCTATGCAGACCCAGTGGATTTCAAACCAACAAGGATTAAGAGAGACAAAGAAGGACACTACAACCTTGTAAATGGAACAATCCAAGAGGAAGAGATGACAATCATAAACATATATGCACCAACACTAGTGTGCCCAACTATATAAAACAAATACTAACGGACATGAACATTCAAATAAGCACTAATACGATAGTAGCGGGGACCTCAATACCCGACTGTCACAAATAGATAGATCAATTAGATAAAAAACAATCAACAAAATACTGGAACTCAATCAAACTCATGAACAAATGAACTTAACAGACATTTACAGAGTGTTCCACCCACAAAATCAGAATACACATTGTTTTCAGCTGCACACAGGTCCTTCTCCAAATTTTTAAGTAAGTGCAAAGGAACTGAAGTTATCCTCTGTATATTATCAAACCATAGTGCAATGAAATTGGAGGTCAGTAGCAAAAGAAACCACAAGAATTTCATAAACACATGGAAATTGAGCAACAGACTTCTGAATAACCAATGGGTCACAGAAGAAATTAAAGAAGAAATCAGACACTTCCTATAATTCAATGACCATTGCAATAGAACAGATCGGAATCTATGGGACACAATGAAAGCAGTTTTAGGAGGGAAATTCATAGCAGTGAATACGTATATTACGAAAACAGAACAAGCCCAATTAAACAACCTGATGCTGAACCTCAAGCTTCTAGAATGAGAAGAGCAAGACAAACTCAAAGTTCATACAAAGGAGAAAATTATAAAGATCAGAGCAGAAATCAATGCAATGGAGGCTAAGAGAACAATACAAAAAAATCAATGAAGCCAAGAGTTGGTTCTTCAAAAGAATACACAAAATTGACAAACCCTTAGCCAACCTTATCAGAAAAAGGAAAGAAAAGGCCCAAATCCATGCAATTACGAATAAAAAGGATGAAATTACAATGGACCCAACAGAAATCCAGAGGATCATCAATACCTACTTCAAGAGCCTATACACCAATAAGATGGAAAACATAGAAGAAAAAGACAGATTCCTAGACAGGTATAAATTACCAAAGTCGAATGAAGAAGACCTAAAAATTCTAAACAACCCAATATCAATCAATGAAATTGAAAACGTAATTACAATATTAACAACTAAGAAAACCCCAGGTCCTGATGGCTTCACTGCTGAATTCTACAAGACATTTAGAGAGGAACTACTGCCACTAATGTTTAAACTCTTCAATGAAATTGAAGGGGAAGCAATACTCCCGAATTCATTCCTGGAAGCAAGCATCACCTTGATCTCCAAAGCAGAGAATGACCCAACCAAAAAAGAGAACTATTGGCCAATCTCACTAATGAACATAGATGCAAAAATCCTTAATTAGATACTGGCAAACAGAATGCAGAAGATCATCAAGAAGATCATACACCCTGACCAAGTGGGATTCATCCCAGGGATGCAGGGATGGTTCAACATAC